TGAGGACGCAAGAATTGTGTTCCAATGTCTACAAATTTTTGAACGTTCATTTTCTTTTATAAAAGTACAGGCTGAAATGTGCTGTGCTCATCTTATTTAATATTATTATTATTATTATTATTATTATTATTATTATTATTATTAATATTATTATTATTATTATTATTTTAATTATTATTTTAATTATTATTATTATTATTTTATATAACTTAATTCTTATCTATGGAAGTCAAATATCGACACTCGTGCAATACCACATATGAGGTCAGGATTTGCTTAATATTTGTTTCGTATTTTGTTTTCTATTTTATTTTCCTTTTTAATTATTATTACCTCAGACAGTCTAATTTGTTCGTTTTCACTCGCAGAATTATTACAATATTTTTTTTTTTTTTTATATATATATTCACGTAAGTATAAATAAAACTTTCATTGAAGCAAATCAAGTCATTTGAATAATTCCTACTTAGTAAATGACATGATTAAATCGAATCATATTATTCATTTAATTTCAATTAATAAATCAAGAAATACATTAAATCTTATTAAAATGTATGCTTCGAGTAAAAATGTGAATTTACTCTTAAGATTATTAAAAAAAAAAAAAAAATTGAATTTTTTAAAAGTATTATTAATAACTTTTTTTATACAAATGTTGTCTTTTTTTATATTTCTTATTTTTGTTGTTGTTTTCTTTTTAAATTTAATAATAAACAAATTGTTTCTTGATTTAATTGATTAATATAAACTTATGCAGTATTGCATACATAGTGTCCCTTTTGTATTAATAATATATATATACTTATATGCATATATATGTACACATATATTTATATATATATTATATTCTTAAGTAAGTTATATCGTATTATACCTAAATTGCATAGTACAGAGAATAACAGGCATTAATTACACGTTACAAAGTTGGAAATTATACAAATACACTAAACATTCCAAGCAACAGAACACAGTGTTCGCATTGTACAGAATCTCACAAAGAATAGTTTTATTAATAATATAATCGAGAGTAAAAATGTCTACTTAATATTAACTTCTCTAAGACTAATATATTTTGTTGAATGATATATATATATATGCTGGAGATGCTCAGAAGATGTATAATAAATAAGACAAATGAGAAAATCCTTTTCTTTGTTTTTTTTTTCTTAATATGCCAAAAATCAAATAATAAATTGAAAATGAAATACTTATTTTTGATATACTCGTTATTTCAATAAACTCAAAAAAATTATCTAGATATGTATATGTTTGTGTATCTATGTGTGTGTGTGTTTGTTTGTGTATATGTACATTAATATTATTTTATTTTTATAAAAAGAAATGTTAAAGTTTTGTTTTGTTTTGTTTTTTATTTGATAGATTGCTTTTCATTTCGTAGAAGAAAATGTGTCGTATGTGAACTTATTTTAAATTATGATAAAACATTTTGTCCGTTTTTTTTTTTTCTTGTTTTTCTTATTAGCATATTTATCAAACACTTCTCATTTTATTTAATCAATTACAATTTGAGAGTAATTTTATTAATTAATATAAGTGTTGTACGAATATAAAAAATGTTAAGCATTCGAGAAAATAAAATGTTCTTAAAAAATAATAACTATAGCAGACAAATTACTTGAAGATCTTTGTGTATATGTTTTTGTAGCATTTTTTTTTTTTATAATTGTGAAAGAGTATGAAAGAGAGTGATAGATAGATAGATAGATAGATAGATAAGAGAGAGAAAGAGAGACATATGGGTCAGTAAGATAATGGTATCACTATTAAATCAATATTATGCATAAATTAATAGACAAAGCTTTTACAATATCTTTCAGTTAATAATTATTCACACATTAATTGTATCAGATATAATTTTAAATACTGATATCTTATATAAATTCATATATTTAAGAAATAATACAATAATTCAGTAGTAAAAATACAAATATCATATTAATGAAAAATATTGAGCATAATATTGATGTGCAAGTGATACAAATAACTTACACTATCGTTTACACATTATTATAAACTGCAGGGGCGTCGTGACAAGAAATGACTATCAATACATTTTCAATTTCTTCGGAGCTTTCCAGTATTCCAAAATTAATAATATGGTAATCGGTTAGTACTTCATCATTGTAGTCTTATCATAAGCCAAAATGCATAAGATCATGTGTTATCTAATATCATTGAATTTTTCATCTTTTAATAATATTTATTTAAATAATCAGACTCACTAAGTACTGTTCAAAGTCTAATGATATAAATTATAATAATAATAATAATAATAAAATAAAAAATGAAAACATAATTCAAGTGATGTTTGCGTTACCTCACAATTGCATATCATTAATAATTGTTTTGTTCTAAACATAATCGTCACTTATTATATTCCATAATCTAATTAATGAAATACTAGCAGATTACTCATAGATTCATAGACTCATAGTTTAGTGTATGTATATATATATATACACTACACTATACGCAAGAGATAGAGAGAGACACACACTTAGCAAGAAAGTATATTTAAAAAGTTTTTTTTTTTTTTTATATAAATATCCTAGTGTTTTTAAATGCTGATATAAATTTCTTTATTATTATAACGTAAATCTATTCGTCTGCATAAAAGAGAGATGGTTGTTGTTCTTTCTTTCTTTTTCTTTTTTTTTTCCTTTTTCTGCTTATCTTTTGTTTCTCTTCTTTTCCTTTTTTTTGTTTTTAAATATATTGCAGTCGATATATTAGCATTCGTGTGAAAACTTTGCTCTTTCTTTGTTTTTTTTTTTTTTTTGTAATAATTAAATTAAAACACGTTCGATGACAAAAACATTCATAAAACTAACATATGTTTTTTTTTTCTCTTCACAACAAATATTATTACAATATAATCTAATTATTACTATATTATTATATTATATTATTATGAAACATTCAATTGCTACAAAATCATTGATATTGTTGTTGTTGTTGTTGTTGTTCTTGTTTGTTTTTACTCTGACAAGTTTTTAAAATTAAATTAAGGTCCTGTTATATATTCACATTCTAAAAAATTAAGCCTTTATATTGTGAACAAGATAAATGAAATTAATAAATAAAATAAAAGGCATTTGCAATATTTCATTAACATTTTTTTCTTTTTTTATGATTAAAGTGAAAAGAAATGATTTATATTATATTATATTTTATTTTATTTTATATTCTATTACTTTATACTATTATTTAAAATGATATTATTATAATGACTATGTATTTGTTGCGATTGAAATGTTTTTTACTTTAAATATATATATATATTGCAAGAGAAATATTAATTATGTTGTTTACGTTAGGCCTGAATAGTCAATAAGCTATATAAAGTTTTAAATACATTTTGTTTTTGTGTTCTTTCTTTCATTCTCAAGGACCATATTTTTTTGTTTGTTTCTTGTCACATGAAAAATGTATATTGCGAATGAATAAATGTACAATTCAGAATGTCATATCTACGATCGTTAATTAAAACTATAATAATAATAGTCTACTTTATACAACATTTACTACACATACGTCTTTGACAAATAAATGTTTAATATAAACTACTTGCATAATTCAGTTGTGTGTCTCTATGAATTTGACATATGGTAACTATAGTAATCATTGTACTTATAATAAATTGTTTTTTAATATATATTTTCAAAAACAAAACAAAAAAAATGTTTAATTAATTAATAACATCCAATCTTATTTTCCTGATATATATATATATATATAATGATAATACATTTTATCAAACGTTTTCGTCAAGTAATACGTATGTATGTATGTATGTATGTAATGTATGAATATATATATATATATTTTTTTTGTTTGATTGTTTGACGAAAAAAAGAAAAAGAAAAAGAAAAAGAAAAAGAAATGCAGTTGTACAAATATGAACATTTTGTATTAATGTATTTTACTTATAATATAATTGTCTACTTTACAACTGAATTATCAAGCAGTAAATTGGATTTGAGATATTTTGATCTATGAATAAATTGGAACTGAAAAAAAAAAAAATAATGTACCTAATGATGAATGTCAACTGATATATCTCAATGTTACTATGATAGACGAACATCGTTACATTTTACCATACTTACAATTACATTTGCTACAAATATCATCTATTTCCTTATATAACATTATCATTATCAATATACGTGGCCAATAAGAACAGATTTGTACTTGCATTGAAATTGTTAAGTCAACTCCGATCACTTCGCACAGCCCAGTATAGCGTGTATGTTTTCATTACTTCTTCATTATTTTTTTTTTTCTTATTCTTCGTTTTCTTTCGTTTTAAAAATACAATTTGTCATTGGATGGCAGCATTCTTATCAAAAATGTTGGCTTTGGAGAATGTTGTAATGACATTTAGGAAGAGATTAGGATTTGTTTTCTAGTAGATACTAGCTTGTTTAGGTTAATAATAAATATGTGAAATTGTTCCAATTGTTAATGACGATATCACAGAGGCTTGATCGGAATATCATGTGTTTTTTTTTGTTTTGTAGGAAAATAGGTATCTACATATTATGATGGTAATAGAAAGAGAGAGAGATAGAGTGTGTGTGTGTGTGTGAGAGAGAGAGAGAGAGAAAGGGAGAGAGAGGAGAGGAGAGAGTTTTTTTTATGGTTACTCTTAACATGGGGAAGTAGTTTTAGGTCTTAAAAATGCAATACACTATACATGGGCTAAACGCATTACAACACGACTCCCTTCACCTGGTCATTAGAATAATTCATCAATATGTCTGTCAGCATGTTGAATGTGCGGCAATGTGGAGTATTCGTAATATTCGCTATTAGAATATAGTAGTCGACTGCGAGTGATATTACTAGAGCCTGAAGTAAGAGAAGGAGTGATAAAGATTTTATTTTTATTATTGTATATCATTCCCTTGTTATTACTTGGGTCTAGACCGCAGCGGCTGCTACCTGCGTGAGATCAAACCGTTGCTTGTTCCTACTGTAGGTGTCATTTCTAGTTCTACTAACAATGGAAAGTGGTCTAAAAAGAAACATAAGATATTTAATAGCATTTATTTCTTACATACTATTACAAAAAATGATAAAAAAACTTACCAGATGGTACATGAGGATGCGGACAACCTACCACTTTATGTTCTCTAAACCAATCTGCACTCAATGGTCCTAACAATCCTAAAGGTACCATACTTTGTTTAGAATAGAAAATGTAATCTATTATGCCCTTGAAATCAAACCTGAAAGTTAAGAATAATTTATTTGTTTCTTAATAAAAATGAATACAAATGAATTTCTTTTTTTTTGATATATTTGTAACTTACGTGTAATTAGTATAAGGCATAATGTCTTCGCTGTAGGCAGATGCAAGTTTAAAAGAATGTGTAAATTCATTTGGTTTATCGCAACCAGAGATCTTTTGTAAGCATGATTTATAAGCTAATTCCTTAAAATCGCGATGATCAGCTGCAACGCGTCCGGATGTTAGAAATTCAATGACACCTGGTTTTCAATGTAAAAGAAAAAGAAAAGAACAAAAAGAAAAATTATTCATTAGTAATTGTTTAATATTAATTGATTGTTTTGTTTTTTTTTTTTTTATATGAATAATATTAAAACGATTTACCTGAATCAGGTAGGGAATTAAAATCACCACAAAGTAAAAGCTGCACGTTGGAAGAATCAGGCTTATGACCAGGTCGGAAAGACTGGCCAGCTTGGTCCAAAATGGAACGTAATTCATTGCTTAACATCATAGTTTGTATCAATTTAACATCACAAAATTCAGGATCCCAATGAATGTGGGCTGTGCAAACTAAAATGGGCTGTTGTACTTGTGCTGGATCTGATGGCAGACCTGTGCAAATAAATTACAATCTTAGATTTAATAATGAGATTAAAAAATAACAATTATTTATATTATTATTATTATTAATTATGAAGATAAAAATATTTTGTCAAAAAATTTGTATTTAAAACGAAAAAAAAAAAAAAGAGAGACATGGTTCCGGCCGGGATCGAACTGGCGACCTTCTGCGTGTAAAGCAGACGTGATAACCGCTACACTACGGAACCCGATGAAAGGATCGAGTTATAAATAGAACAGGTTCTATAATAATTTATACAGAAGAAAATTAACCGTGCAACAATAATTTTAATAAAACAGAAGTTAAACTTTACGATATAATAATATTGTTATATATATTTTTATTGGGAAATATTGAAATTAAAAATTATAATAAAGAATGATAATATATATATTTTTTTATAGAAGAAATTTATTTACAAATTATAAATAATAGAACATAAAAGTGTTTTTTTTTTTTTTTTTAATTTATTACATGCATTTTATAATTTTAAATAATTCATTAAAAAAATAGGAAGAAAAAAGAATTTCATTAATATATAAGTCAAATGTTATATTTAAAATAAATCTTTTTTCTAGTTTCAATAAAATTATATACACTTTATTTATAATTATATATCTAAACGACAAATTATTGTAATTTTAGGAGTATCATAAAGTTTACAATACAAAAGGAATTAATTAAAAGTTTTCATTTGTTTAAGATTAAAAAAAAAAAAGGTTTCATATGTATGTATATAATTAATATGTAAGATGTTTATTTTGATAGAAAATCATCATTTAAAAAATGATAATTAAAGTGAACACTCCATAAAGTAGAAAACACGGATACGCTATAAGAGGACGTTGATTATTTTCCCCAGACATGGTTGACAAAAGTCGTGAAGCTGACAAAGTTGCCCAAGCAACAGCCAAAGCTGCAAAAACTAAACCAATAGTACCACGAAGAGTTGTAAAAATACTAAATGCTGAAAGTGTTACAACGGGTAATAAACAATATCCTAATACAGATGCCACAGATAATAATGTAATATTATTGGTACTACTCATTAACGTTAAAAGAATATACATCATTAGACATGAGATTGTTGCTAGACCATAAACATAACCGAAGTGAGCTTTAGAACCAGCTAAAAGAAGAAACGCAGCAAGGGCTAAACAAAATGTAACCGGTCCAGCTAAATCGGAATCTTGAAGAAGATAATTAGCATCATCGATTTGTCCTCTCCTATGAAACGGGTTTAATACGGCCAATGTTTTTTGTATAATCCGATCAGGATCAATACCAAGTTCTTCTAACAAAGGTGGTTCAACTTCTTCGTCTCCAAAACCGTGATCACCTATGAGTATAGTTTATTCAATATATATACTAATATATATGTATATATGGATAAATTTATCAATATTTCTAATAATAATACCTCTTGTAAAATCATCTTGAGGAAACAATTCGTCATAAGTGCGTTGCCTTGGATCTAAATAACTTTCTGGTGAAAGAACTTTGTAATCAGATGGTAGTTCGGTATAAGATTGAAATTCAAATTGTTGGTTAGGTTGTTCGAAATAATATTGTTCGTGTTTATATGGGTTCTGAGTATCCTCCGGGTTAGCCCACATATTCTTTTGTCCAGTATAACCAGACATATTGATAATTTGATTAGTCTTTTTAAACGAATGTTTATATATTTGTAAACTTCCTTAAACAGTATTAGAAAAAGTATCCTCGTTGACGTTACGGAGAGAGAATCAGTGAAATCATGGTTATTAGTATTGATACTTTTAGTTCAAACTAAATCCTACAGATGGCGTTACGTGTAATCAATACAGAAAACTATAGATCAAACGTACCGACAGTGGTATATTACGTACCATTATTATTATCTGTATTTTATGAATTCTTGTGTGTCAAGAAAAAATATTGATTTCTTTTCTTTTCTATAAGAATAATAAATTAAATCATTCATAAATATTATATTCTAATATAAAATCTTATTCGAATTGATAGAAATAACCTATATTTAACACGTTGAGTGCCACGTCAGTCATAAATGACTGACAATGAACTTCACGTTAAGGCCGCATATCAGACGCCGATGCCTGATGTTCAATTATTTTTTCAATACAAAGCCAGGCTTGTGGCCTAACGAGGATTTTTCTAAAAATTCGTGTGGCGCTCAACGTGTTAAAATCAAATGAAGTTCAACACCATGATGATCTTCAAGAAAAAACTACCATCACTTGGAAATTTACTGTTACAGAAGAAGACACGACAAATAAGACAAAAGGTATATTATCAAAGTCTGTATAATAATAAAATTAATAATTTTTTAATACAGTTATCTACTTAAAATAGTTTGTACATTATATTTGTAGAAGCTTTTTGGTGTGATTACAAGAAACACACCTGGTTCATATAAACTTTGGTAAATAGAAGAACAGAAGGAGGAGGAGGTGGTAGTGGAAAATGAAAAAGAAGATCGTGCGTGACTCAGCAGCACCTACGCAATATTAACTCACTTATGTCCTAAGTAATCCTTGGCACGTGGCAGGAAGTAAAGTGATCGTAATAAAAGAGATGCTAACGGTATGAGGTGGTATCCCTTAGGATGGTCATTCTAAATTAACGCCTGAGTGCCTCCATCGCCGGAAATCAGTGCGATAACTTGTTCTCTTACATGGTAGAGAGAAAATGTGTGTGTGAGAGAGAGAGAGAGAGGGGGGTTCGTAACAAACCCAAGTATTATGCAGTTAGTTCGTTTATTTGCAATTAGCCAGGAGGCAAGCGTTATCTCCCTGAGCAATTAAGCGAGAGTTACAAGGCGTCGGTGGTCGAATAACACGAAGAAATCGACCTCTAACGGGTAGCAAAAGTTTAACAAGAGAGAAAACAGAGAATTAGTCTAAATATTAACGAAAATATTCTAACTGTATTATCTTTTATCAAGACACGATTAAACTTGATATCAATTAAAAGTTTGTAAATTGTTTATTTGACTTGGAAAACAATAGAATTGTATATACAGGTAGCCCTCCTACAACACGGCTTCGCTATAACGATTTATAAATTGCGAGAACCCTCCTATAACACGGTTTCACACAGCACGACATTTTCTAGGAATCTATCTACTGTGTTGTAGGAAGGTTACCTGTATTTTATTTATTATTGAATTACATTTGTTTAACCCATTGGAGACTACGACTTTTTTTGAACCAGGTTCCCAGGAGTCTTTTCTTTGTTTTTTTTTTTTTTTTATTATATTGCCAATTTAACAATGCTAATAATTTAGTATGATTGCACATATGGTGTGCAAGTGGTCCCGAATGGGTTAATAGATTGCAATCATTTGTACTTTATATTTATAATATTCTTTTATGCAATTTTTATAAATAGTTTTAAGATAATTTATAGATCGATATGAATATTTTTTATTGTAAAATTTATGATAATTTCTATAAAAATCATGAAACAAATGTATCATCAGAAACTAAATTAGAATAGGTTAGGTTATTGTATTTGGTTTATTTTGGATATAAGGATTCCAAACTTTTGGCTAATAGTGTATACGATATAGTATAGTATTTAGGTGTATATATATACGCATATGTATAATGTGATAATTATGGATATTGAACGTTATCGATTCTTCTGTTTTATTTTCCGATATAATGCATATTTCATCGAATTTTCGTTCAGGGTTTTCCTATCGACGATCGTATGGAACCTACGAATGAAACCCTGGCTATGAACCCGGTGGGAATGTATCTATTGACATTCCAAATGAAAATTATCGGCGTTATGGCTCTCGAAGTAGAACGATTCGGATTTTGTTTACTCATCGAGTGTATATATATATATATATATATATGAAGCATGTTTTATATATATATGCGTACCGTACGTCGTTTGCAATGACACGGTGCGATATATCCAGATAACGTGAATTTCAATTCCATCGTTTAAATAAATGCTTTTCTCGGTTACGTTGTTTCGCGTGCACAGGTTGTTGTTGAAACATGAGAAAGAAAGAGAAGAGAAGAGAAGAGAGAAGTGAAGCAGAATCAGCGTTGTAATATTTACCGAAGCGTGACGGATACGATAACAGTGTTTTGTTCGGATAACAAAAAAAAAACAAAACAAAAAGAAAACAAAAAAGGAACAAAACAAAAATAAAAAAAAATACGAAAGAAACAAAACAAAAAGGGATAGAGTAGTAAAATAAAAAAAAAGAAAATAAAAACAAAGGTGAAAAGAAAAAAAAACTAGAACAATGCTACTATGCGCGATTAATTCGTATTTAAAAGAAAACAACAAATAAAACAATGAAAGGATTAATCGAACGTACACGAATGTGTCCCATCCTCAACCTTCTACTTCTTTTGATAGAAAAATCAAGCAATAATATATATATATATATATATATATATATATATATATATATATATAACAAAAGCAATCAACTTCAATCTAACTCGAGTATTAAATAATTTTGTTTATTTGTTTGTTTCTGTTTCTTTTTTATTCATAGTCACATCCGATGTTGTTTTATTGTCATTAATATAATACAAAACTTATTCTACAATAAACAAAACAATATTATCTCATATTTTATCATTTATATCATTAAAGATAAATAAGAACAATTTAGTTAGGGGTGAGGATGAAATTGAAGGAAATAAAAGAAGAAAATAAGAAACGAGATAAGCTCGTTGGTCAAATGACTTGGTGTAGAGGATAGGGGGATGATTGTGGGAAAAGTTGGTTGCAAAAGTAGAACGAGAAAAAAGAAAAATAAAAGAAAACCATACGTGTTCTTTCGTTTCCTTTGTTTGTTTTCCCAGCAAGACTATAATTAATGATGAAAGAAGTTGCTTCATCGGCAAAGCTTTCAACAATACCATACTATACTTACTTATTTAACTCCCCGCAAAAGAAGCTTATGTGTACGGGTAAAACCATTGTGCGTGATGGTCGCAATTTTCGTTTTGTAAGGGTGGGGGTTGGGGGAAGATTAACCGCAACGAAGCGAGAACACTTTCTTGAATTTCAACTTAAATTGGTGTGTTTGTGATGGTTAAATGTTGCATTGTTATGAATGGATATGAGAAGAATAAAAAGAAACAAATGATTAAAATAAAAAGAAAAAGAAGAAGAAGAAGAAGAACATATTCCCCATTAAAGAAAAAAAAGCATAACAGACCAGTAGTTATGAGAGAAATAAGAAGAAAACGAGAGAGAGAGAGAGAGAGAGTTTCGTAGCGTGGATCGAATCGAAAGGGGTTGATCGAAAGTTTCCCTACCACTTTGCTTCTCTCCCCTTTCTCTCTCTCACTCTCATCTTTCTTCCTTTGGGAAAGGTAGTAAATATTCCAAGTTCGTAGACGTTAAACGTCCGTTTCCGTGGAATATCCGTACGATATACTCTAAAGCTAGGATATATTCCGTAAAAGCCCTACCAACGTTACTGCTACTACTACTACTACAAGTAGAGTATTCCTCGAAATCGTACGGCCGATAAAAGCACACACAAACACACACACATATACATACACACTCTCTTTCTCTTTCTCTTTCTCTTCTTGGAGAACCAAGCCGACCGAGGGGGTGTATGAGGAGGATTCTGCGTTGGGTGATGGTAGTGGTAGTGGTGGTGGGTATAGATTGAAGCAGGGAAGAGGACGATATTGATTCGTTGGGTAATTTACGAGGACCTCCGGTACGAACCGGCGTGTCCTGGTGGAACGGGACGACGGTACAGGGGTGGAAGGGTGTGACTGCTGGAATGGGATGAGGTGGAAGGTGAGGGTTGGTGGATTCTCGCGATCGGTTGTGTTGTTGCGCCACCAATACTACCTCTACCAATGAGAACGGTACACATATACGAGTCGAAGGTAACCCCGGGAGGTGGGGGTAGGTATATACCACCCTCTCCATTCTAATCTGGGGTGATTTATTCACGTAATGGGAGCACCCATATTGCCGAGCGACTCTCTCTCACTCTCTCTCCTCAATTAATGCTCCTCGCGCGGAGTTACGTTATTGAAACGTCTACTGGCGGGACACGATCGCCTAGGTTCCGATTCTCTTCTTCTCTTTCTATCCCTTTCTATCCCTTTCCTTATTCTCCTTCTCCTTCTCTCTCTCTCTCTCTCTCTCTCGATCTGTCTATCTATCTTTTTCACTCTACCACAAGGGTATAGAATTCACGCTCATTCCCGAGAGGCCACCAGGTGGTCCAATTTTCCTGAGTACCTTGCTGCTGCTGCTGCTGCTGCTGCTGTTGCTGTTGCTGCTGTTGCTACTGCTACTGCTTACTTACTTGCTTCATCGGAGAGATACTAAAATACTAACGTTGAATATCCTCTACACTACCGGTTTTTAAATGTTACTTTTTTTTACTTTATTTTATATAAATAGTTTATTAGATTATCGTTATATCGAAGATTAATTATTCTATATGAATCTATCCGTTCTCATGGGTTATATGTAAGTAATAATATTTGTGTCTAATTGAAATTATTAAATGAGTATTGAAATTTTTGTATCAAATGTTAATGGAGATTTTTAATATTAAACTTTTCGATATTTTGGTCAAATGATTTTAGTTTAAAAAAAATTTTAAATATAGAATAAGATTTGAATCAATTTGATTATGAACAATATATATTTTGTTTTATTTAGAAATGAATCATTTACATTTGAAAGTCATAAATAAATTTGACCAATCGTGATACGTTTAATGTTAAGAATAATTAAAAAAAAAAAAAAAAAAACA